TGGACTAGCATCCTATCCAGTGGGGAGTAGAAATATTCCTAGTCCCTTCATGGTACAGAAACTGGGAAAAGCTCTGACCTGATGGGCTCATTTAAAGACTTTACCTTTACCTTGATTATAACACTGGAAGATGTACCAGGATTGTGAAATTGAAATTTGATTATAATAAATGTAATAGATTTCTTTAACTTTCCTCCTCCCCCATAAAGCCCCATAAAGTGAAATATTTTACTTACCTTACATATGTACCACAGAATAAGTTACCAGTTTTGATTTTTGAGGTTCTCAGTTCTAAAAAGTGATCAGTACACTTTTTAGCCCTTTTTGGTTATTGTGATCCCAGTGTTATCCTTAGTGCCTAATGAAATTATATTAGCTGAAACTGTTTGCAAAAGTCCAGTCAAAGCTAAATGGAAAAACCAATTTCCCATTAAGTGCTGTTCCATTGGTACTTATTACTTTTACAAAGTACACCGAGTGCAACAAGTATACCTACCTTTTGAATCATATATCATTACACTAACATGTTTATAATCTTCTGATTAGGTCTCCAAGTTGATAACATATGACACGGTACACTTTGCAATACCATGAATTCACTGTATCTTGGTGAACAGGCCTAAAACCTATGAACAATAACACGGTAGTAACTAATATAATGAAACAGAAGTTTTTTTACCCAATTATCAATTATTACAAAGAACTTTAAAAAATATACATACTCTGACATTGCCTTCAGTTGTTATGGATCTTGCATATTCTTTTTAAAAATAAAATACATGCATAATGAGAGCACTGGTCCTGTGTGACCCCCGGGGGAGGGAAGGAGTACTCCCTTATATGGGTTGTTATAGGTATGTGCCATTTTTGCCATTTTGGTCATAAAGAGGGTATGGGTTTTGCACTCGAGTCTTGAATTGGATATGTTTCTTAGAAGAAGCTACCTTTTCATCATTATGGATGAGACCATCAACAAAAGTCCTTCATAAATTATGTTAAGGGCAATTGTCAGCCACAATGGTCATAACTAGGGTATCAAATTTTTGGTGAGGTCACAAATAGGGTAGCGAAAATCACAGATTTTGGTCATAAATAGGGTAAGGGTTTTGGGAGGTGGGCCACTCAGCCTCACCCAACTTTTCTGGGAGTGCCCACCAGGGTGTGACCTTTGTCGACTTATTCTTGTCTTTCAGTTGCTTTTCAATTCTCTCAGTGAGTCAAAGAACTTACAACTGCACTGTTGACTTCTCCATCTTGGAACTGATCAATTTATGTACAGGGGTGTAGTGTGTATTTTTCATGGAGTACACACCAAGGAGAAAGATAATCAAACACCACAGGCATGAGTTGGTATGGGGGTTTGGGAGCGTGCCCCCAGGAAATTTTTATTTTTAGTGGTCAGAAATGCCATTTCCCAGGTTTTCTAGGGAACAGTTTCATAAATTGAAACATATAAAACTTTGAGTATTTAATAACTTATGTTTATATGTCAACCTTTGGGATTATTGATAAATATAGGTTTAACAGGAGAGCCTAAATTAAAGAGTGTCAAACTAGCTGAATTAGATATTAAAATACACTTTTCCCCATTAACATATTAATTTTTTTTTCTGGATATCCAAAGGTACGCATGTGTATACGTTCATAATTGTATGGTTGCTACACCCGATTAAATATGAAAAATTAAGATCATCCCTTCGCCATGCCACATTTTAGTTTTTATTAAGTGAAAATTTGACAGTGATTCAGGGGAAGGAGAGGTATCTCATTTTGGTCCTTTTTGTCTCATCCAAGATTATAGGCTACGGTCAGTACAAACTCTCCATTTCTTTCCTTATTTATAATCTTTTGATTGTTCTCTCCCCTGGCCCCTCTCAAGTTTTCCTATGGGAAAAGAGAGGCTGATTTTAGGTAGGTAGATAGAAATAAGTTATGTAGATGGACAAAAGCTGGCCATGTTCCACTTCCTCCCTATATTTAATTAAGGCAGCAGGTGTGACCCCAGTGGGGGGAACACCCGTATAAAAATGACGTGGGTGCTTATTGTACCTTTTAGGGGTTAAAAACGTGGTTTTGGTACATCTTAGGGTGTTCAGCCTCAAAAGGTCCACAGCAGGAGCTTTTGTGGTACCTTTTAGGGTATTGAGCCCAAAAAATATGATTGAGGAGATAATATGTTGTGTAAGAATTGGTACCTCTTAGGGAAGAAAAAATTTAAGCCACGCCCACGAAACAGGATCTTGGTACCTCTTAGGGGTTCTTTTTAAAATTTCCGACAAGCACCCCTGTCTTTTTTATATGGGGGTCCTCCTCCTTGAGGTGGTCCCCATATAAGCCTTACTCCAAAGGTAATCGGTTTTATGGAATCCAGTTCTTCCACAGACCATGCACATGTAGATGTTTTCTTGGAGGATGCATATGTGTGTAAAACCTTTAATGGGCCATCCATATAAATAAAATTTGTATCGCGGGATCAACTTTATCTAGACACTACTGGGATTTGTGAAGCTGGGAGTGATAACCCAAGAGGGATTAATTACCATAGGACTAAAGCCTATATGTCCTGTTTCTCTACTGGATCTGATTATTCTCTCTTTTACACTATCTGTTCCAGGCCTGATCAGCTGTGCTGAGTCCTTAGGTTTTGTGCTATGAGTTGTTTCACCTCTCCCTAGCTCCCATATTAAGAGGACGGGGGTGCTCGTCATACCTTTTAGGGGTTAAAAAAGCTGTTTGGGTGCCTCAAAAGGTCCACAGCAGGAGCTTTTTGGGTACTTTGTAAGGTATTGAGCCAAACAAATTTATAGGAGATAATGTGTTGTTTTAGAGTTGGTAGCTCTTGTAGGGGTGAAGAAACATTTCAAGCCATGCCCACAATACAGAATCTTGGTACCTCTTAGGGGTTCTCTTCAAAATTTCCGACGAGCAACCCCCGCCCTTTTTATATGGGAGTCACCCCAGTTTCAGTTCAGTTCAGTTTCAGTCCGGTCCCAGCAAGGTCACACTCAAAATTATTTCAGGAAATTAGGTTTTTGCCAGATATAAGCTCAACCAAACTGTTAATAAATGTATGCCCCCGCCTCTAAAAAATACAAGCTTATGAAACTTTGTTTTTTGGAGTTACCAATGAGTCTAACAGCGATTTTTTGATCTCTTCAGTATTTTAAAAAGCTTTAAGAGCTTATCACGAACTTTTTGCTGGCCCTTTGTTGTAGCTCACTACAACACGTTGAACTTACTTTACAATTTGCTAATGTGAAAACAAGATCGTCAAAAAGCATATACACGCTAAGGATGTGGGCTTCTATTACCTGTACGTGTCCTACGCAAGTAGTAATAAACTAATAAAAGTAAATGATTGACGACATTTTTGTGTCCGCCTTGTCTTGCCGCTGGCAACGCCGCCAACGCGTGTTCGCGGGAAGCGAGGCGGGAAGCTGACAATATAGACCTTGGCGGGGTGGGGATGGGATAGCGGAAAGACATTTTCAGCTTACCAAACAAATTCTCTATGTACATCTAAAAGTGACGAAATTAATCCATATATTTGTAAAAAAATTTCGATGAACGAGATATTGGAGACAAAAACTCCTGTCAAAAATGCATATCATCTCTTCCCATTGTTAGCCCCCTCCCCTCCCCTCCCATCTAGTATCAACCAATTCCATGTGCCGGACTTGCCTGAACTCATCCCTCGGGAGTCCCTTGTGTGTGTCGGGTCTTTTTACAGACCATGTTATTTCCTCTCTGAAGAGTACGAATTGGCGGTGGATCTATGACAGAAACTGCGGAAGAGTCTCTTGATGGGGTAAGAAAATGTGTATATTTTCTCTTTATTCGTTGATTCATTTACAACGAAGAATACAACGGTCGCCTTTAATACCCCTTGGAAGTAAGTCACTTTCGATTCACTCCGGTATTTAGCGTGTTTCAACACGTTTTTTCTTTATTCAAAATGAAAGCATTTTATTTTATTTTTACCTAAGTTAGCCCCTTACCTTACATAGTTTCAAACGTAATATATTAGATTCAGAAAACTCGGTTAGTTTTGTCAAACACAAGCTTAGTACAGAACTGACCTTCCGTGGTTCAGTGGCCGCCAAAACTGCATAGCCGTGTGTTGTTTGCGCAAGAAAAGTAATTACCTCTCACAAAAGCAATTTTAAATGGTCGCAATGATCTTTGTTTGTAGCCTTCGAAGTTGAAATTTTATCTAAATTGCAGTGAGCTTGTCGATATTTTGTTAAGAACGCAATATACAGATGAGAAAGACGGTCTGTAATGTGTTGAAATTCGTCGAATCCTTTACCGTAGGGTGCCATCATCTTAAAATATATCTGGCACAAATTAGCATTTAAGAAGCGTTTATTCATATTTTTAGTCATGAATCAAAACTACTGTTTCGTCAGGTTCTAGTGAAGAATTTCATTGCACATCTCAAAACGTAGAAGATAATTGTTCTTTTTTTGTTTGTACAAGTTTTATCATGACTTCAAATTTCAAATTATAGTTGTAAGAGAAAACATCATGTTACATAAGTGCCAACAGCTTTCAAATTCTGCACACGTAGAATCATAAAGTAAATTGGTTCAAGAGATTTCAATGCCCAAAAAAACATTTATCTGCACAGACAAATTAACAAATTTTAATGCACATCCTCAAATTCTTTTGTAGCCAATCAGATGACGTCTTAAAATTCAGGGCAAATGTGCGCATTTTTCGTGAATCATATTGTTATATAAAAATATACTTAACAAATAGTATATGAGTACCCTTTCTTTAGTTATTGCCTCAACACCTTAATAGCATTGAAGGTTTCATCGTCTTTTACAAGCCCACAGTATAATTACTATGCCATGTATCGTGACGTTGTGATTGGCTGATGCTGGTAGATGTTTATTTACCCTTTAGTATATTCTCAGCTCCGACTATTGCATTTCTAGCTCTCTGATTGGCTCAAAAACTCCGACTATGAGCCATTAGTCGGAGTTTTACCTTATATGGAAAACAGTGCGCCAAGTTTAAAAATTTTCCGCTCTGTAAAATT